TGATGTTGATGATGTTGTTGTTGATGTTGATGTTGATGTTGATGTTGATGTTGATGTTGATGTTGATGATGAAGTTGTTGATGTTGATGACGAAGTTGAGGATGTTGATGATGTTGTTGATGTTGATGATGTTGATGTTGATGTTGATGATGAAGTTGTTGATGTTGTTGTTGATGTTGTGTAGAATGTTGTTGATGTTGATGATGATGACGAGGATGTTGTTGATGATATTGTTGAGGATGTTGATAACGATACTGCTGATGATGAAGTTGTTGCAATTAATGTCGTTGTCGTTGAGGGCGTGGTTGATTCTATAGAGAAAAATAGGAGAATGTGATAAACATGAGAAATCAAAAACATCATTTAATCTGGTTTGGTCTGTACACTCTAAAAAAAAAGGAGTTTCGAATGGAACCGACTAAAAATGGGTCTTCAAGCATTTAAAAATATACCGACTGGTTACTGAAACTCTTGAAAGTTTCCAAAATCCCGAAAACTTTTTTGTAGTCCTTGAAAAGTTACTAGCGACTGTGTTCCCAATACTATTTGTAATACTATAAAAGCGAAGTCGCAAATATATTTTTAGTAATATATGTTTCATTCATACTCACCAAGGGGAATCCGTGTTCCAGTCATGACAATCATAGTGATAGTATCACCATCAACCAACATGTTTCCATTCTGATTCTGAATATCGTTAAACAATTCACAAGTAGAAGTTGATTGATGAAAACTAAGTGCTTTACATAGACTTTGAGTTAGACAGGCTATGTGACACTTGAGAATGTTCGGCGCGATAATAGTAACGAATGGTAAACAAGTTGTGGTAGCACATTGAAATTGCTCACCATGCATTATAGAGACTGTAAATGAGTTTATATTCTGTGTAACTGATTGTACAATAAGCATAAATAGAAGAAACAGACATGTTCCTCTTTCAGCCATCAGCAACACAGCTTGTAGTTAAAAAAATAAATTTTAACTCACAATGAAATACACTGTAATGACGGAGCATTAAATACCGTTTCATTTTCAGTGTTTTTCTCTCACCTTTTACGCATCAAACATTTTATTTATTCCATCAATATGATGAAAAAGTGAGTCCTGACTTCCACCTCCTTTTTTTTCAGAACTTTCTAATCTAATTGCATT